GAGACTGACCTGGAACTCACTATGTAGCCCAGGCTGGTCTCGAACTCACAGCGATCCTCGTGCCTCAGCCTCCCAAGTGCTGGGATTACAGCGGTGCGCCACCACATCTGGCTTGTTTTTATAGTTTTTAAAAAAGGAAAATAGTTTGTTTTTTTTTTTAAAGAAACAGAATAGAAAAGATAAAACCTCAACGCTTTGCTTGGTTATCTCTACCCTCCCCTGGGAAGTTTTCCTGAACAGTTTCTAAATCCTCTTCACCCTCCACCCCTATTGCTCACACTCAGTTCTTCCTTTTGTGTACTCATATGATCTCATCTTCAGGACACAGTTAGAAAGTCACTCAAGGTTATCTGTGCTCCTTATGCCTCCTTTCTTCTGGGCCCATCATATCCCAGTCCCTTGAAGATAGTATAAATCGATAAACTAGCTTAGTTGATAGGATAAAGGGCAGAAACCTGACCTTAAGAGAAGAAGATTCCAAGGTTTCCAAGAACGTTTTAAGGCAAAATGTCTTAGATCACTTATCTTAAAAAAGAAACAAAGAAAAATAAGCAAGCGATACTGTGCCCATGCCTCTCTGCTATAAATATGGACACCCTTCCACCCAGAAAATGAGCCCTTATCTTTCTAACTGTGGGTGGTCCATTGGTTTTCTCTTATTAGCCAAGCCCAGACTTCCTGCAGATTCCTACTGCCACAAACACATACATAAATACTCCTAGCTCCAGTTTATAACACACCACTCTCAAGGGCCCACACTATTTTCTTTCGGTGTGTACTTTAAACTTCGTCTCATAAATTCCCTGATTCCCGTGACAGATGTGTCCTGAAAATCCTTTTTCTGTGATGGAAGTTGGTGAATCTGCAACCTGCCTTCAGGAGGGAACGAATCTGGCTTCCCTGTCTCTGTGTTGGGGAAACTTTCTTTGAACCCTGTCTGGTGGACACCAGGACCTAGCTCCTGTTCTGTGCTCAGCAATTTCTCTTGAATAAAGAATGAAACCCAAAGGAACATGGTCCTCCCGTGCAGGTACAGGAAGATGACTGTAATTGGCAGAGTCATTTCCCACTCATCTCCGGGGTCTTCTCCTGGCTCTGGAAAACGCAGCTTCCCATCCCCCAGCCCCGTGGGTGCCCCAGCATGCTCTGGGCAGTGATCTCCTTGCTTCTCTGCAGCTCAGTGGGGGCCACCCCTTACCTGGGTGCAGTACTGCTTTTCCAGCCGCTGGCTCTCCTTCTGTTTCTGGCAGGTCAGCGACACCACAGACACAATGGTGCTGTTGTAGTTCTCTTGGGGGGACGTCCAGGACATCAAGGCAGTGGTGGAACTTAAAACGTGGACGCTCACGTGCTGGGGCTTCTCAGTCAATTCTTCAATCCACTCCCCGGCAGGACCTGAACATTTCCAATCAGATCACAAAGGAGGGTGCACTCTGAGAGGATTCAGATAAAAGAGTCCAGTTTTTAAAACTGTGCTGTTTTCTCACAGTCTTTACAGAGATATTCAAAGGAAGATGGGTGTGTCACACCAGTGATGCCTTTGACTCTCTGCCCAGCTACCTTCCTCAGTGCCACTATCTCCTTGTTGACCAAAACAACAAAAGTATCCACAGCAACAACAACAGAACAGTTTTGCTGAGAGACAAGCTCCACTTCAGTTGTCTGGGAGGATTCTGGTAAAATCTTCACCAGAGAGAATTTACTTTTCTTTTAACAGAGTGGGTATGGCCCATGGGTGTTCCTGACTCCTTCATTATAAGGATCTTTGGTTTCTAGAAATGATGACTTTGAGAGTCAAATTAGCCTCTGTTACAGTCCTGTGACAAAATGAAAGATGCATGGCAGCACTGGGAACAAAGAGGTAGACTGTAACTACATCAGCCAAGGACCAGGCAACTGCCTGCAGCAGTTAAATAAGCTGGCTAAAACCTCGGCCATATCTGGGAGACGCGGTGGGTTCCTATTACAAAGTACCCCTAGAGGTGTTCTTTATGGGTTCTGTTCTCTTAGGTTTCTATAGTGTTGCTTAGAACAGTGCTTGATGCATAGCAAGGACTCAAGAAATGCAAGCATACAACTTTCTCCTATTTGCTCAGAGTGCATTTCTCCATCTCTCAGTAGAAAGCTGCACTTCTCAAACCCGGGAGAGGAAAGGAGCCAGTTGTTTGGTCGGGGAGGGCAGACTCAGGCTGATTTGCTGTAAATGGTGTAAGGGGGTAATAGTAACAAATGATAACAATGAGGACAAAGAGATGCAGCATACATTATATACTGGGCTCTATGTTTATATATGTTTACATATTTTAATGCTTTAAGTCTTATAAGCCTATGAGGTAAACACCATTATTAAATCTCAATATGGATAGGATAAAGAGCTGGGATTCACACACACACAGGAAGTCTGATTCCAGTATCCACGTTCTCAACCCTGTCTGGGGCTTCCCGGGGCACAATGAAATAGTGAAAAGCACTGGCTTGGAAGTAGAAAATTGGCCCAAAACTCAAATTTGCTCATAGGCAAATCTTGGTCAATTGATTTAATGCCTGAATCTCAGTCACTGCATCTGTCAAATGGACAAGTCATGAGCTGTTAGGATAGAAAAATACCTTGACTCATGAGGAAACTGAAGTCCAGAGACTCAAGTGACCTGCCCACTGTCACAAAGATAAGTGCTAGGCAGGCTGCATCGGAATGGGATTCGTTGTCAAATATTCCTCAAGTATAATCCCCGTTCTGATAAGTGGGAAAGCAATTGAACCTTTTTTGACTTAGTTTTTTTTTCCACATTAAAATGGGAATAATAAAATGTTCCTTTCATGAGACTGAGACTATTGTATCTGCCTTAATTCTCATCTCTGGGAAAGCCTTCAATGCTAAGTAATGAAAAATCATAGTGCAACACATACGTGTCATTTCTCTTTTGAGACAGGGTTCAGGCTGCCCTTGAACTCACCATGTAGCCCAGGCTGACTTTGAACTTGTGGCAATCCTCCTGCCTCAGTCTCCCAAGTGCTGGGATTGCAGGCATGTACCATGATGCTTGTCACATAAATTGCAATGTAAATCAACACTGGAATGTCTGAAACAGCTTGGTCAGGAAAGTGGCTGCAAATGTTAGCTGTTGCATGACCACATTACATAAAATGAAGTTAAACTGTCCTAATTTGTTGCTCACCTACCCATTTAAGTATAAACATTCATATCTAATATACTTTTATAACCAAGAATATACATATGTTGTAAACTTGACATCTCATTACTATTGAACGGAATATTTTAAGCACTTAAAATATCATTCTTTTTATTGGCATAGAAAAAGATTTCTAGTAGCCCATATTTCCCTAGGTGATATTAAAATAAATGTCTCTGACATAATCATATACTTGAGCAATTCGGATATATTCTGAATTTCACTAGTTGCTCTGGATACTCAAGAAGAGCAGAGAGTTTGACAGATAAAAGTGACTCAGTCAATAGTAGTCAAATGTATAAAAGAAGGAATAAATGAGCAAATAGTGAAACCCCAGCCTAGGATTTCATCATTTGGTGTGAGAAGCAAGATATACACAGACAAGCTAAGCCTAGAAAACTAATCCACACTAAGTTCTCTGTTTTGTGTTGTGTGCTTTGAAACCCAATTCAGAGAAAAGCTAGCTACAGCAGGAATCACAGGGCAGTTTTGATAAGAGCTGTTAACACTTAAGTGGGTCTGCACTGGAGCAAAAGGAGACTCTCAGTCAGCAACGCCTTTGTAGCCTCATGGGAAGAACTGAACATTCAACTTTGTTCTCTTTTCCAAGTGATCTCACTTCAAAGAGCTCCCGTACTTAATATTCACGCAAGGTGATTGCCAATATCCTTTCCGTATGTCTGCTGAATATCTCAGGCTTTTCACTAGTGGTGACTTTGTTTTTTTCTGGCATTAAGGATCGAACTTTGCACTGATCTACACCCCCTACCCCCTTTTAAAATATTTAATTTCCAGACAAGGTCTTGCTAAGCCACTAAGTTGCCTGGGCTGGGGTTGAACTTTGGATCCTTCTGCTTCTCCCTCCCAGAATTCTGGGATTGTGGGTGTGAACCACCATACCTGGCTTCGTTTTTGATTTTTTAAGTGAAAAAATGTTCTACGGGGACATTTTGAAGGTTTTCTTTTGTAGTCCTAGGTTTTGAACACAGCACCTTGCGCATGCTAGGCAAGGGCTCTACCACTGATCTACATCACAACCTTTCCATCACAGGCATGCTCAATTCCAACATTTTAAGCTTTTACATAAACTGATCTTAGTCTCTGTTTTCCCTCTTCTGTCCATCTTTGTAGAAATTCTGGAGGCACAGTGATAGGTTCTATTAAAGAAAAAGATAGATTTCTTTCTGAGAGAAATTTCTGTGTAAGTTTTCTGATTTTTCTCTCTGCTGATTAAGAGGAATGGTGAAGTCCTCATAGGTTGCTCCCTGATGTTTAGCTTCTAAACTTCCAGTAAACAGAGTTGAGCTCAAGACATATAAGGCTCAAATAAATTGAGGCTGGAGATGCTGGCTATTGCTCTGGGATTACCCCACATAGAATCAGTAGAAGCCATCCTAAGACTTGTCATTGGGGCTTTTAAGATCATCCAGCTTTTTCTTCACCTGTTAACTGCATGCAGATCGCCCAGGTGTAACTACACCTAAATCTTTGTCTTCTGAACACGATAAGTTCAACACCATAATGAGATTTTCACACATTTCATGATGACCTTAAGTAAAAGTCCTATTTCCCAAACTATGTGTCCTTGATATTGGAGACTTTGGTATGGCCAATGTAGAAGGTCAGTTTGATAAATGTTCAATTATCACAAGAGCAAAAAAAAAAAAAAATCTTCAAGTTAAATCCCTGGGTAGTTTGTTAACATTACACATATATACGTATTTCTTCTGCTGTCAAAAGCTCATGTATCTGGGCCTCTCCTGACCTTGAAGATTTGTCAAGATCCCTAAGGGTTGTGAATAATTGACAACCAAGCATCATTAATCTCGCCCCTTTCATTGTTCTAGCTCCGCTATAATGCAAGTCACTTGGCTACTTACTGATATAAAAGCTGAATGATTTTGCTGACTGGCTTTTTCGAGTTTCACAAGATCCCGTGGAACTAAAGGTAGTCACAGAGAGCTTATATTTCCCAGGCTCCTTCAGTTCTGCAACAAATTCGTGTGCCTCTTCGTCTACTGTCTGATATTCAGTAAAGTTCTCTAAATAATATAAAAGAATAAAGTCAATTGATACCTGGGAGGGCCCTGGCTAGAGACGAACCAATTAATTACAAATATAGGTATTTATCACAATAGCCCCTTTGTTCTTTTTAAGTTCAATTAAGCCTCATCAACTAAAGATGCTACAAATAAAAAAATGTGAAAAAGAGTTCACATTTAATATGCGATTCAAATCAACAGAACTAGGGATGGTCCTATTGCACGTTCTTCTGTTCTTTACCCAATAAAACTATGTGTATGATAGAATAGAATGTTAGGAGAAGGTAACTGTTATTGACTTTTTCAGCTAATGTAAGAGACAAAAAGCAACTGACACCAAATATCTTATGAGCTCTTTGTTGTAGCATTAAATATTCAGAAATGCTATAAAATATACTAAATTGTTTCTAGTCAGAGAAATAGAACATATCATTTTCCTTCATCCTTTTGCTTCCAGAACTTTTAAAAAGTAAGGATTTTTTTTTTGCATTGCTTCAGTGCCTATCTCCTGCTGCTCATTGTTTTAGGCGAAGTCATTATTATCAGTTGGCAACTATAAGAATCTTTGAAGGAACATGCCATAGTGAGACAAGAGCATGACTGAACCTTCATGGAAAACAACAGTAAAAAAAATTCTGAGTTACAAACAATTTTTCATAGAATAAATTGAAGAATAGAAAAATAAAAGACAGATTTTAAAAATAAGCAATTTCAGACAAATGAGTTTTTTACTCAAATAATTGGAAATGATAAAGGATTTCAATTTTATATAATATTTGGGCATGGTTATTGATTGCTCTATCATCTAGTATAAAAGAGTGTATGAATGTATTTCATTCTAGTAAATAAAATAAATAATATGTGACTAAGTAATCCTAATGTTCTACCATGAAAATAAGGCTGCCATTGTAATTTCAAATTTTGACAATTTGACAACTTTTGCCACTCAATCTACTAGACTGGGAAATACAAAATAAAGTATGTTATCGAAAAAGGACAAACAACAAATATAACTGTAAAAATCTACCAAACCACAATGAAGGTGTGGCATGGCTGTGTTTTCATGAATTAATGGATGCAAATATAAAGAATGAATCTCAAAGGCTAGATAAGTGAATACAACCTATTATAGTACAGTGGACCCTCAAGTTAGGATCGGCCTGACATACGAACAACTTGGGTTAATTAGGTTAATGCAAGCTTCATCTGCCTCTTGTTATCTGGAGTGTGTACCCAGGTAAGCATCCAGATCTTGGCTGTATTGACATACAACTGATTTGAGTTACCACCAGCCCTTGGGATCTGATTAAGTTTGTAATTCAAGGCTCCACTGTAACATGAATTGTTGCCTAGTTTCCATTTATTTGCAGCTCCTCGGTGGGAAAATTTGAGGGGTACGTGCAGAGGGGTGCATTTCAGGGAGACTGAGTAGCCAGGCAAGCAGAGGCAAGAGTAGAGAGCCGGGTAAGAGCAGGTGTCAGACTGTTGGAGGAGTAGATAGATTTATCAGATAGATTCTTTTGCTGCATGCTTCACAAATGAGCATATGAGAAAACAAAACTTCTCCAGCAGATTCAGTAATATTGTATGATAGTTAGATCTTTAATTCAAAATATTTCCATATACAGTGGTACCTCGGTTCATGAACTTAACTTGTGCTATGATTTTGGAAAAGATGACCGTGTTTGTATTTCTGTGGGAAAGACGGCCACAGCCGTGTTTGTCACCCAATGCAGAGTTTACAAACAACAACAAAATTTTGGCAAGCATTTGCGTTTGTGAATTAGAGGATTTGTGGACAGAGATACCACTGGCCTGGGGTCATCAATGGCCTGGGATATGTGAAATGTTAGGCAGTGAAATAAGTAAAACTGGCATTAATAGCAACTTGCTAATCACTCAAACTTTCTGATTCTTTAACCTCATCTTTTTAGTTTTCTGTTCTCAGCTTGCACTGGCTATTCAGTTAAATCCTATCCTTTCTTCTCTCTCTCCCTCCCCCTTTTTTCCTCCCTCCCTCCCTTCCTTCTTCTCTTTCTTCCTCCCTCCCTCCCTCTCCTCTCTTTCTTTCTCTTTCCTTCTGACTTTTCATTGTCTACCATGTCTTACTTCCTAGACGCAAATTTTAAAATATCTGTTTCCTTTCCTTCGTTCCATCTCTTATCTCCTCTGATTTCTTACTGCTTTACCTTCTCTTTCTATGAGAATATGGAAACCATCAAAGGCAGTCGGTGGTTTGGGTGGTAACCATCTCAGTATCATTTGAACAGGGAAGAAGGCGAAAGAGCCGGGTGTGGACTTCTCGGTCTCGCCCAGTGTGCTGTGGTTTCCGGATTCCGTGGGCGCGACGCCCACAAGTTTGTCTTCATTTTCAGGAGGTGTGGATGCACTGTCCCACCAATGGGGCTGAGGGGTGGCCTCGAAGTCACTGCTGTTAAAATCAGGCCAGCCGGAAGAAGTGTTGCCGGAGGGAATTTCTGGAGTGTCGTCTGTGAAATGGAAGATTTTGCCTTTTCCTGGTGGATCTTGTGATTTTATGAATGATTCTTCTGGGAAACTGCCACTCTGTTCTTCCCAGTTGTTTTTGTTCAAGTTTACAAAATGAACAGAAATATTTCGAGGTGGATACGGGGCTGTAAAACCGAATTTTCTTTTTTAGATATTTTTAACACTGTTATACTGACTACTTCGTCTATCGATGAGTCAAATACACAAGCAGCTTTTACAAAATAGAGTTTAATTTTGTTTCTACTAAGCAGGAAGTTTACACAAAGAACAGTTGTGGTTTTAAGTATACATGCTTCAGTGGAGGATGAGTACACCCTGGCAAAATACCAGTCACGATTCAGCTACTGTGAGATTATGCCTGTCGAAATGGCAATTTAACCAAGTCTAAAACAAAGTTATTCAAATAATCTTCAGTTCACCATAATCTCACTTTAAAAATGTGTCTCTGTCCCCAGATCTTTATTAAAAAAAAGCACACCAAATAGTTTAGTTCTAGCTATCAGGGCAATAGCACTCCATGTGACAAGTCACACTGTGCCTAGAAGAATTACAGACACGAACCGCCTTTAGAGATGGCGACATCTATGTTGGAAATATGGCTTCCTGCTTCACTTCTCTAAAGTGAAACATATGAGCACAAAACGAATTTATGAATTATGGAAACAAGCACACACTGCATAATTTCTGCCTACACTGGTTTCTAACTGTCCATTACATAGTAGCTCAAAGACCAACTCCTCCACACACTTCTAATAAAAATTAATCTCTCCTTTTGTACTGTTAAGTATCGGTGTACTTATTTTATCAGATTTATCTTGTTCTGCCTTGTACTATTGCTGTTTGTACAATTTTTGAATCAGGTTTTGAAGACAGAGGTCCTGTGTCTCACCAGTCCCAGCTAATAAATATGTCTTTGCTTGAATTGAGTAAGTAAAAGCACAAATAGGACCCTCTGTGTTGGCACAGGTGATGTTAGTTCTTTAGCTATTTAGCCAAAATAATTTCCTTATCTTGGCCTAATGAAAGAGAATCATGACAATTTAGACTTTCAGAGAGTAAGGGCCTATCATAATCTGCTTGTTGCTTACATAATCACCATTGCTTACGTTGGTGATGGGTGTTAAGTAAATAGATATTTATTTTATCCATCCATCTATACTATAATAATTCTCATTAATGATGCTACTAAAATTAGCCACTGTACATTTTAGATCAACATTCCACTATTTTCTTTTAATAATTTGATGATCTGCATTAGAATGTCTCTTCTCTGTTTTTCTGCTATTGGACATTTGTCAGATTATAAAATAACAGATGTCTCGTCGATCCAGCTGAGCTACTTAATTCTCACTTCTTTTGTTGATATTGGAAACCTTTTAATTCAAAGATTATAAATCTGATTGCACTAATTCATCTTAGATTTTTCTCATTGAATTTTGCTCCATTCTTTTTCCAGTGATAGAAACTATTTTAATACATGTATTAAAATATATTATACATGCATTAGATAATACATGTTTATTTTTTCTTAGCTTTGCTGAAGAATATTTCTTAGAAAAATAGAAGATAAATATGGAAACATACAATTTAATTATCTTTTTTTTTCACTTAATTCAATTTTTCAGAAGACTTACCAGTTCTGTGCTGTTTGGGTTCATGACTGACACCACTGTATTCTACGAGGGTACTTTTATTAAAATTTGCCTCGGATACCAGCTGAAAGGTGATGTTACTGTAACATATTCCTGGCAGCCAATGGTTAAATACTGTTTTTCCCTTAAAGAAATCTGTGAAGAGAAGAATCAATTACATCAAAAGAAGGATCTTCTAAATGCCACACACTTGTGGAAAGTTCTAAACAATTGCAATTAAATATATATATATA